CAACTTGTAGTTTCGAAAACTAAAATGCACGGATATTTAGACGCAATTCAATCTCAAGCGAGCGCTTTTTATGGCCATTCATCACAAAAATACGATCCAACAGTTTGCCTGCCTGCCTGCGCTTACGTGAACTTCCATACCATAGGCAGCGTCACCTGGTATACATCCGTGATATTCCGTCAAATGCTCTTTTGATTTGACTACGTAGGTGTTTCACTATAAAATTTTTCGCATTGAATTTGATCCCTCTAATCACTGCGCTTGACGTCATTCAGAAGGCATTCTTTCTTTATAGGCTTGTTATCTAATGGAAAGAGCAGGTTGATAGCAGTAATTATTTATGTGGTTTCGCCTTCCAAAACAATGGGAATATTTCGTAGCCATGGGTTTTTTAATGTGCACCTAAATTCAAACGCAGGAGACAGAAGCATTTTCGCCTCCATAAAAATTATGGCCGCCGGCGTGTGGCGTTGATCCCATGAACTAAAGACTAAAGAGAGGTAGAGCGCCGTACCCAGTAGACCACCGTGGAAAGTGATGAGTTTGTTTCACCAAAATATTAGTCTTGATGGTGTAGCTGCAACGCCACATACATGGCTTCCTATAAGTGCTACTATTTACTTTAGATAAGACGACTCATTTTACTTGGACATGACTCGCCAAGTTTGCTGATAAATCCGGGTTTGTTTCGCGTCAATATCGCTATATATTTATTAGGTGTTTCTATTGCAAAATAGAGGGCTCATAAAATTGAGGCTATCTTCTGTTCAATAGGGAGGTCTTGAATAGGGGCCGCAAAAGTGTGGGGTCCCAAAGCACTTGGCGTACTGATGCACGCTTTGGGTCAAGCAGGAGCGCAAAGTTTTCAAATAGGGTCTGCGGCGCTTTGGATACTCATCCGATTCTTGGTCATGTAACTTCAGTGGGCACCATTACGTCTGTCTGAACCAATACTGCATCTGCGGAAGGCTCTGGGGCTCCAGCTCAATTCGAGAAATAGCATTCCCAACCCAAAACGCAAACGTGGTTTGGGTTTTTCGCGTCCATAGTGGCCTTGACGCTATTTATTTTGGGCCCCCAACTTTTGGGGTCATGATTTGAAAACTTCCTATTAATATGCACGGGCCTCTAGTGATTCCGTTTCATGCAACAGGCGCACGGACGGGGTCAAAGCCACGACTTTCACGTCAGCAGCAGGCCACTAAAACCACTATACCATTATGCAAATTTTGAGTTGTCGACTCAAATGGGTCATATGAACTCAAATGGAAAATGGGTCGTATTCTGTGATTCGAAGGCAGCGCTTCAGAGTTTGCAGTCTGCCATGCGTAGGAGGAGTCATGACCAACTAGTACAAGAAATAAGACATTGTCATCATGAAGCTCTTGCACGAGGGCATGATATTATATATCAATGGCTGCCTGGACATATCGGTATTACCGGAAATCAATTAGCCGATGATGCAGCCCACTCAGCCCATGAAGAAACCCGTGTAGTCCCGATTCCTCTATCAAGGAATGATGCAGCAAGAAAGCTTTACCTGCTGGCTCGAGATCTCACACGCACGTTCTGGTCGTCTAGCAGCTTCCAAAGGTGTCAATTTTATGAACTGGATCCTTCGCTCAAGCTAAAGCTACCATCACAACTTTCCCGCTCCGATGCGACACTGTTATGCCGCCTTTGGTTGGGTGTTGCATTTACAAAGGTGTACTCCTTTCTCATTGGTATGGCAGACACTCCTACATGCGACTACTGCGGAGCTGAAGAGACCATCGAACACGTCCTGTGCAGCTGCGCTTGCTACGACACACAGCGATGCCAGCTCCGGATGGTTTTGAATCGACTTGACCCCGGACCATTTTGTGTGCAGAAGATACCTTGGGCATCTGCCTCAGTTGCGCAGAAAGCAACTAAAGCACTGCTACTTTACCTTAAGTCAACAAACCTGAGTGACCGCCTGTAGACTTTGTGTGCTCCCCGAGTGTGCTCGTGATTGTGTGTACCTTCTCATCTTTCTGCAACCTCTTTTCTCCCCTTTATCCCTTCCCCAGTGCAGGGTAGCAAACCGGATGTGCGTCTGGTTAACCTCCCTGCCTTTCCGTGCATCTTTATCTCTCTCTCTCTCTCTTGAGTTGTCGACACTAACACACCTATTGTGTAAGGTATAATGATTAGAGAGGATACTTCACAAATTACACTGGGAAAAAGTTAGCAGAACTGTATTTTAATCAGCTGAACTGGAATGTCCCATCAAGGGATTCGGTTACTTTATCGTCTTGTCGTTGGGAATATATCGTAGCACACACTAAAGAAAGATAAACGAGGGCATGAGGAATATTTTATGACGCATGATTTTATTCTTCACATTCTCTCGAGTATTCTCTAATGCTTGATTTTATGATGTTGGTTTAATTTTACTGCTAATAGAATGTACACTTGTGGCAAAGTAAAGTGCCACAGTCATGCGAATTGGTTAGAATATATGGGCTTGTAACAGGTGTGCCAACCAGACCTGAGCTCGCTGAGAGCCATGCCCTGTAGAAAACTTTCTGTACATCGTCCATACAAATATTGCAATATAAAGCCCATCGAGATAAAACAACGTCAATGTCAACATCAACTCCACGCGCTAAAAAACAGCTATGAAGTAAGAAAGGCCTCATGCCCAACAAGCGGCGTAAATGCACACCCGCACTAAGCGATACGTGCTTAATAAATACGTATTCTGAGGTAGCTATAACACTGAAGAGCATAATGTGCACTTACACAAAGCGAACCCGAGTCTGAAACAAAAGCCATAATCTTGGTGGCGAATGCATCGTATGGACTCTCGACTGCCAGGTTTCTAAAAAATTGTCCTGTCACAATGCACACGTGGCAGCAAAACGGGCTGCAATGGGTGAAAAAAATTAGAGCATCCGTCATTTCCAATTGATGTGTTGCTGCAGATCGATAATGTACGCATCAATTCAAAAGTGCGATTGGCATGCATATTTGGAGTTATATGCACAGCGCACGCAGCCCTTGCATCAATTCAAGTGAAAAATTATTGAAAACAGCAGTGCCTCCTGTCCGAAAATTGCCGCACTGAGTGGCATATAACATTTCGCTGCTCACTCTGTAGAAATTTATGACCACCGTCAACGACTTGATAACTGCGCGGCTGAACAACCAAAAAGTCACATGGTTCTATAGGCGTTCTCTACACCACAATCTTCACGAAAAACTGAGGAGGCGGACGCCTAACTGCGTAGTTTGCCATCTTATCCAAAGACCAAATAGAGTTTTCCTAAAAACATTTTCTATCGCCTCGTTTTCCGATGTATAAGCGCTTCCCTAAGGCTCTCTTTATCACTCTGCCACTGTTCGGGGTGTCTCAAAACGCGACAAGCCGGGCCTGTGTGCGACGGATGATAGCGGTCTGACCCAGCTAGAGTGTTTCCTGGCCCTCCCACTTTTCGGTGCCGCCGTTTGTCAGGAGTCGGTCTGTCGTGTTGTGTAGAGCGTTTCGATTTCCGTTTTCACTGTGGCTATCACGTGACAAGAGAGAGAGAGAGAGCGAGCGTAACTTTATTGTAGTCCAGTGCAGACGCTGAGGTTGCTTCACGCCACCCGCCCTAGAGCAATATAAGAAGGAATGTCTCAGTTGCCCGCTTTTTCGCACTTGATGAATGCCTCTCATGCGTGAACGGACACGCGCCCTAAAGTACGTACCAAATACAGCTTGAAGAACACGCAGCTCCAAAAACTGACTATTGCTGGGAAGTATACGCCAAGCATTCAGGAAGAATGACTGGAATGTAGAGTGCCACATCGAACCCCGAAAAATATCCTCTGCACGGTAAGTACCGAGCTTTATATCAAACGCGCATAGTTATTAGTGATTCTATGACAAATATCAAAACATGCTGTGAAATGGCAATTTTGGTGTCAAAAAGATGTTGAGTGTTCTGCCATGGTGCTTTTCCCCACATTACAAGTTTCAAAGCACGCTTGTTTATGGGTTTAGAAACACCAAATATTCTGAAGTTTTATTTTAGATGCGCACATCTACAATACTGATCCGTTCATATCAAACAATGCACACTAATGTGTTGTCCACTCCGGGCACGCTGAGTGGGAATTGATGAAAGATGCTCCCCTGATCAAGACACATATTTCACGCAATGTGTGAACAACCAAGGTAAACATATCAGAACACTAATCACTTCGCAGCACGGACACGTTGGTTCGGTCTCCGCGTGATTGTCCCCTTTCTTTCCAGATGTGGGTTTAGGTTATTATTTATTGACAATTAAGCGTTCGCGTTGTGTAAGTTGTCTTTCATGCGATGTACATCATTTCCCGTCTATACTCAATTAGCAAAGCGGTCGCTCGTCCATTTTTTGTAGCATGTGAAAATTCTAGACCAACGAGGACATAAAAACTTTGGTGAACGTGGTTCACTTAGTATAAATCGAACGTTAGGCTATACATATAATGGGGTGGCAGTGGAGGTCAAATGGGTGAATATTACAGCTGCATGTTCAAAATGGGCTACATTGACAAACTGTGGACCAGTCGAGAAAAATATATGCACGTTCATTTTTCGTTATGTTTTACTAAGCTTCAGTACCCTTTGAACGCTTGATATTTGATAAACAATGCAATACTAGGATCCCTTGCTTCGATTTCAGCAGTGCACCTTGCAAGAATTTCTGAATTACACTTACCTAAGGATCAGTAACCAAATATTGCTGAAGCAACATTCCTCCTACTTAGCATATTGCTTTAAACGATAAACTGAATTCAGTTTCTAACTGAGGTTATGCCCGAAAAGACTTCGCAGAAACGTAGTCATCAACACAGTTACTAGGACCATGTATGGAATTGCTGCTTTTGCCATTTATTGTTTCACGCTTCGTGGTGCAGCTTTCTTAGTTTAAAATGTTGTAGCGCTTCACTTTGCAGTGCTTAGAAGTGACTTGTGGACACGTTCTTATTGCAGTCCAACATTGCTTCCGGGACAGGTGTCAAGAAACTTTGCATGAGAAATGGAAGTCGGAGAGCTCCGATTCATCGACGGCCTATGCATCCGCTCGTTCTTCCCCGAAGCACTGATCAGGTCAGCCATGACTTACAGTCCTCGCCCCGACGACGTCTTCGTCGTTTCTTACCCAAAGTGCGGCACAACGTGGACGCAGTATCTAATACTCAGCATCTTCACGGACGGTGAACCCCCGACGAAACTCGAAGACTTCATGCTCGCCTCTCCCTACCTGGAAATGATGGGCGCGGAGGCGGCGGAGAAAATGCCCAGACCGGGACTCCTGAAAACGCACCTGCCATTCGAGAGGCAACCTTACTCCACGAAGGCAAAGTACATCTACGTCGCACGCAACCCGTACGACGTTTGTGTGTCATACTACTACTTCCTAAAGAGCATGACTCCGAAAAGAGTCAAGGATGTATCGTTCTCGAAGTTCCACCAACTGTTCGTCTCCGGTAGTGTCTCGTATGGCGACTACTTCGACCATTTGCTCTCTTGGTACAAGCACCGCCACGACGATAACGTTCTATTTCTTACCTACGAGCAGATGAAGAAGGAACCTGAGTATTGGACTTTGAAGATCGCAGATTTCCTTGATCCCGACAACGCGGATCGCCTGCGGGAGGACCCCGTTTTGCTTAAAACTGTGCTCGACGCAACGATGCTGAAGAAGATGAAGGAAGTATTCAACGGCAAGATGTATACCGTTATAGAGCGTCTGCTGAACCTGCCCCCTCACAGGGCCATCAAATCAATGGAAGTCTACAGGAGTAAGCTGGCACACCGAGAACCGATGCACGAAGACAGCGGCTTTGTTCGCAAGGGCATCGTTGGTGACTGGAAAGCGCATTTCACCAATGACCAAATAAAGAAAACGAAGGCATGGACTGCAAGGAAAACCGCCGACTCCGATGTAATGCAGCTGTGGAGAGACCACCGCCTGCCATGAGAGCTACGAAGCGCAAAACTGTGCAGCTGCAGGCACCTACACCGCACTGCCACCAGATGTCACCACAGCGCTGCCACTTTGACCGTGGTCGTAAAAGCCAGTGCGGTATCGTATCATCTAAGTGTAATAGTACCACTTCACTCAGAGAGAATTTCAACGTAGACAAAACTCATTTCTCACTTTGAATCTGTCAGTGAATTGGTTACTTTAAGAACTAAGTAAATAAGGTTGAGTATCCTGTGAGCATCCTCATATTCATTTCATTCAAACGTACTGATAAAGTGGTCGAAAGATGACTAAAAATTACCTTGTAAGCATCAAAGGCAAAATCATCCATATATTTAACATAACGCTGTCAGTGTGGCTGTAAGATAATTATTTCCTACCGGTTTTTAGTTTTGTTTCCAAATAAAACTGTGCATGGACTGTACGGGTATTTGGATCATTCCAAAATGTTAATGGAATTTCTAGGCCTACAAATATCTGCCTCGTAATTTCAAACAAAACTAAGTTTTAGCGTTCGTTTGTAATTACAAACTTTATTTGCTATATGTACTGAATTCTGAACCTTATTGCCCTACAGCTGAAACTGCTATACGATTGTCTTTTTATTCCAAGCCTGGCTACGGAGCTCTCATGCGGGCAACAACTACCAAAGGTATAGCTATAAGAAGTCATGGCTCTGAGAAAATAGTTATTCGACTTTAAGCAACTAACAATTGAATTCCGAAAACTTAAGGAGAGCATCCTTATTTGAAAGATTCTATATGCTTTGTGAGGCTGAAGGTTGGTTCATGAAAGTATTGCAACGCACATGCAGCAAAATGTTGCGTGAATGAAATGAAGCAGCTAGGCAAGATCATTATCATATCCGAGGAAACCTGCGCTTCTCACAAGAAAAATTTATGAGAAACATATTTACCTACAAAACTACTCACGCACTAAACAAATTATAAAATACACTTATTTTGGTTGTAGCAAAAGAGGTTTCCGCATAAAAGGTTTAAAATTACTCATGCAGTGAAATATAATATTTGATAGAAGTTGACAGTAATGTTAGAGACAATTATCGTAGTAGTGTGAAGGACAATTGTATTGTATGTATTTTGTCAACCATAAAATATTACAATTCGCATGTTTCATATTGTCCAAGCCTGTTTTTCCCAGAGTGTTGAGCAGTTCGACATGTTGGGTGCAAGCTATTTTGTACATTCAAGCCCTTATTTAATATAACGTCATGTCTTTATTGTGGCTGTTTTGTCGATTGCTTTTTGTGGTCTATGATAGATTTGATGCCCAGAAATGCGCCATTCTTGTAAATCAGAATTGAGTGATGTATTGTTCTACAGCTATGGGTGCTCTACGAAATGTCTTCAAGGATGTTGCGTCTTCCGTTAGGAACTTTTGTCACAGCGTTCTCTTGTGCCTGGTACTAGAACAATACAACAGTTTTTGAATCTGAGTTGCAAAAAAGTGGACTGGGTTGGTTCATCAATAATTTTTACCACAAAATCAATTGAATCTACACTTATTCAGTGAGAGGAAGCACGGTGTCATTTATATAGTTCACAATGAACACTATTTACATAGAATACGCATCAAGTTCCCTTACCTTTCATCCATGCTTCTTTTTTTTTCTTATCTCCTCGACTGGTTCTTCACCACTTTTTTGCGTACCGAGTAAGATTTAACTCATCTTTACACTTAAGTTTATTATTCCTAATAGTGCACCTTTGCTGGATTGTGCCCACCGAGAAACTTCAAGCTTTGTAACATTCGTCCAATACAGCGTCATTTTTTACATTTGGCATTAGGAAAAAACGGTGAATTCTGCTTTCAAGTTTCAAGTGGATGAGCACGAGATTTGGAAGTGGCGAAAATTGCTTGGGTGCATTCGGCAAACACTTCTGCGACACGCAGTTGCAAACGTACGCTGTATAAACGAAATGGGATGAATTGGCGTGTTAAAACTTCACAGACACACCCGGAAGCTAGCTGCATCGCAGTTAACTACACCCTCGCGCTGAGAGCCGTGACGGCGCCGGCCAGCGTCCATGCGCCACGTTGTGGCTAAACAAGTTCACTCCCTTTTCATGGCGTATAATGGAAGTACGCAGGCTTTACTTCGTTGCCTAAAACAAGGCGTGCAATAACTTGAAACCTGCACAAACCAATGCTGTCCACCTTTGTCAAAGCATTTGAAACTGTGTCATCTCTCGAGAAGCTTCGTATGACTGCATTCAATCACTTCAAACTTTTTTCGACGTCACTGCAGTAATAGGAGCGTATGTAAACGTATATGCTTAATTAACAGACGCATGTGCGACGAAATTAACGAAGCATTGTTTGGGATGCTTTATATGTACACCCGACCGGTCATGTTCACATCCTAACTTCAGCACGAAGTTTTCATTGCCATGATAGTGTGTTTTACTGAACTAAAGTCGACCCTACCTGGTACGATATACAGGTGTACTTAGAATTTATATCTACTACAGGCTTTCGCAACGTTCCAGCATTACTAAGCGTACACTGCGTTTTGGTATTTATTAGGCTACATATGGCACATGGTCGAGCCTGCGCTACAAACTCTGTGCTTTGTTGTCCACCTGCATCATCCGCTGGCTGATAACAATACCAACCTTTAAATTTACGTACATGTGGCAGCGAGACATTCGCACAACAAATTAATCGCGTAGTCTTCAAAGACTCAGTTATCCTCCAATGTACGTTCATGTCGCATCATGCGGAAAATTTTTTATTTCTACGCATGGTTTTGATAACTTCAGTATTATCCGCACGGATGTCTTGCATACTATGGGAACATTGAACGTATTCCCGACGCTGGTAAGAGCTAGATAATTATTACCTTACTACGTACTGTTTCCTTTAGCCCCTCCGCAATGGGGTGCGTTAGGTTTTGAATATGGAATCTGTTACGGGGGTTCATTGAGGTTCATAGTAACCGGGAAGATAGCAGCAGCAGCAAGCAAAGCGTAGCCAGAAAACAAACATCCGAGCGAGCCCGGTGATGGCAATGTGCTTTCCCATGTGTCCATCTTCTTCCTCACAATAACCCCCGGTATCGAGAGGTAGCCATTCTGGCGACCTAGAGAGAGGTCCGAGGGTCATAATACGACTTGAGACGGTTAATGTGGACTGTTTCTCGCCCCCGGCGACGAAGGTCGGAAGATGGCGTAACGGGTTCAACCACATAATTAACAGGAGAGGTCTGCGCAACCACGCGGTAGGGTCTGTGTTACTTCGGAAGAAGCTTAGACGAAATGCTGGGAGCAGGAACTGGCGGGACCCAAAGTCACACAAAAGAGTCGGCGGTGAAAGGGTCAGAAGGGATGTTGGAGTCGTGACGCTGTTTTTGGCGACACTGTTGGTCGTAGGTGAAAGAACGGGCCAGTTGTCGGCAGTTTTCGGTGTGGTGAGCCACCGCAGACACAGGCTAGTAGTCGTAAACGTCTGTATGATATTCAGAATCGTATCAATGGTGCTAGTGGGCGCATGACCGCATAGCAAGAATAATCGTGAAAATCCGGTGGTGGCTTGGGAGGCGGTGTTTTAGGCGAATGTGACAAACGGAAGAACAAGATCCCAATTGCAGTGGTCTGACGCAACGTACACGGACAACATGTCACCCAGAGTTCGGTTAAATCGTTTCGTTAACCCGTTACTCTGCGGGTGATATGCGGAAGTGGTGCGTTGATTAATTCTTCATTCGGATAGGAGTGATTGCAACACGTCTGAGAGAAATACACGGCCGCGATCACGGAGCAGTTCACGAGGGGCACCTTGGCGGAGAACAAAGCTGCGTAGAATAAACGAGGAAACGTCCTTGGCTGTTGCGGAAGGTAATGCAGCGGTTTTGGCGTATCTTGTCAAGTGATCCACAGCGACGACAATCCAGTGGTTGCCAGCGCCAGTGCATGGCAGAGGCCCGTACAAGTCAATGCCGACGCGATCAAATGGGTGGGCTGGGCAGGGAAGCGGCTGGAGAGGTGCTGTGTAGAGGTGCGAGACTGGTTTAGAGGTGCGAGAGAGGTGCTGTGTAGAGGCGAGGCATGAGCGGACGTATTTGCAGACGAGGCTGTACACTCTGCGCCAATAGTAGCGTAGGCGAAGGCGCGTGTACGTTTTGAACACGCCACCATGGCTACACTGAGTGTCACTGTGGAAAGCGGAGCAGAGGTCGTGACGAAGATGGCGAGGCACGTCCAATAACCATGTGCGGCCATCGTTGTAGTAGTTACAGCGGTATAAAAGACCGTCATGGATAGCGTAATGCTGCACTTGGCGGCGTAGCACTCGTGGAGCCGGGATGGTCAGGGGGCTTGACAAAAAGTTTAGAATTGTGGCGATCCAAGGGTCATTTCGTTGCTCTGAGGCCATGTCCAAGATGTCGAGTGGCGAAATATTGTGATTGTGACTAGATGCGCTGGCGTCTGAAACGATTGGGAAGCGTGACAGGGCGATATACGACCCGGATGCCGTATTCCTGGAGTCGGAGGGCCTATCGAGCAAGGTGACCTGACGGGTTCTTGAGGCTTTACAACCAACACAGAGCGTGGTGGTCTGTTACGACGTCAAAAACACGACCGTAAAGATAGGGGCAAAATTTCTGTAGAGCCCATATGATGGCCAGGCACTCTTTTTCAGTTACGGTGTAATTGGTCTCAGGTTTTGTGAGTGCACGACTGGCGTATGCAACCACGTATTCGGCGTTGGCATCGTCACGTTCTGCGAGCACAGTACCAAGGCCGACACCACTAGCATCAGTGCGAATTTCTGTGCGTGCGCTCAGAGCGAAGTGACGAAAAATTGGCGGAGACATAAGCATGCGTCAAAGTGTTGTAAACGCATTGTCACAAGCTTCTGACCAGGTAGATAGTTCGTTGTCGCCTTGGAGGAGTGCATTGAGAGGTGCGATGACAGTAGCGAAATTACGAACGAAGCGCCGAAAATATGAGCATAAGCAAATAAAGGTGCGCAGTGCTTTCTGGTTAGTAGGCTTTGGGAACTCGGATATGGCTCGAAGTTTAGCAGGATCGGGAAGAATGCCTTTTTTGGAGACGACGTGGTCTAGTATAGTTAGTTTTCTAGCGGCGAATAAGCACTTTTTCAAGTTAAGCTGGAGACCGGCATTTTTGACACAGGTCAAAACTTGATGCAACCGTTGTAGATGGGTCGGGAAATCAGGCGCAAAGACGACAATGTCATCCAAATAGCAGGGGCAAGTGTGCCACCTCAAGCCGCGTAAGATGCCGTCCATCATGTGTTCAAAGGTGGCGGGTGCGTTACAGAGACCAAAGGCATTACAGTGAATTCGTATAATCCATCTGAAGTTACAAACGTGGTTTTCGAG